CAAAGACGAACACTAATGAGGTACCTCCTATGGAATGTGAAACGCCAATTGACCAATAAATAGACAAGACAGAGAGGCATCCATCCGGACAGTCATTATGGCGGGCCAGGTAAAAGTTCTACAACTAAACGTTAATGGACTGGCTCCCAGATGTGCTGAGCTGAGAAAATACATCACCCGCAACCCCAAAGATGTAATATGCCTCCAAGAAACCAAGCTACTACCAACCAAGAACGACATCTACTTGCCCGGATACACTTGTCAGACCGGGCAGACCGGGCAGCACGACACGTGGCGGCGGTCTTGCCATCTACGTCAGGGATAACTTAAATTATATTTCTGTTTCGCTTGACGTAGAGGACCCTCTAGAAGCAATGGGCATAGCCATCACATTGAGCAATAATACAAAATTGACAATAGTGAATGTCTATGTACCCCCAGATGTCACGAGAAAACCAGTTGACTTCCAGTCACTTCTCGACCAGCTTCCTCAGGGCGAATTTGTGTTTTGCGGGGATTTCAACGCAAAACACGTCCTGTGGGGGTCACCGAGGAATGACTGTCGGGGGATTAGCCTATGCTCAATAATAGAAGAGAACGACCTATGCGTACTGAACGACGAGAGCCCTACTTTTGTTGGAGGAAATGTCCCACCTTCACACCTGGATCTCACGCTCTGTACGCTTGGTATGGCAAACCGCTGCGACTGGCAAGTACACGAAGATGAAACACTTGACAGCGACCATCTACTGATAGAACTCTGCATCCAATGTGAAACAACCAGGGAAGTCTATAACGAGAAACCCAATTGGAAAATAAAAGAGGCTGATTTGGCTAATTTCCGTGTAGGCTGCTTTGGGTGGAAAGAAGAAGACATCATCGATGCCAACATCGACGTGTACGCAGCCAACATCACGAGTGCTATTATAGGTGCCGCAGACGACTCCATTCCCAAGACTTCTGGAGGGCAATCAAGGATTAGAAAACCTTGGTGGTCACCAGAATGTCAGAAGGCGGTTAACGAAAGAAAGAAGGCACTACGCCTACGGAAACGCCACTACAATGAAGTCAATCACCAAAACTACCTGAAGTTGAAATACGCCGCAAGATACACCATCCGGAAGGCACAAAGCGGACACTGGATGACATTCTGTAATGCGTTGAATCAAAACACGCAAACAGGTGCCGTCTGGAAGAAGCTGAACGCCATGAACGGGAAGCGCAGATCATTCAACATACCAAACCTAAAGAATGGAGATGGGTACGTTACCAACGGCAATGAAAAGGCAGATCTACTTGCAAAAGCTTTCGCTGACGCAAGCAGGGACGAAAACCAATCACCAGAGTTCCTGAAGAGAAAGGAAATCTTTTACTCACAGCACCCTTCATTAGAAATTGAACCTAATGAAGGGGCTAAACCAATCAATCTACCCTTCTCTGAGGAGGAGTTAAATAAGGCTCTTTCCCTCAAGAAAGATAGTGCGGCTGGTGAGGACAAAGTAAAGTACTCGATGCTTAAACATCTGCCTAGAAATGCCAAAAGGATACTACTAAACTTCTTCAACACATCCTGGCTGACAGGAGAGGTACCTAAAGAATGGCGGAAAGCCAACGTCATCCCTCTTCCAAAACCAGGTAAAGAGAGAACAAAGGCAGAGTCCTATCGACCAGTAAGTTTGACATCCACACTGTGCAAAACCTTGGAAACAATGGTTAACATACGACTACAGTTCTATCTGGAGAGCAACCGACTGATCGACGAAAATCAAAGCGGGTTCAGGAAAGGGCGTTCAACAACGGACCACTTGGTGAGACTACAGCAAGTCATGTCGCAGGCACTCCTCTCTGGGAACCTGTTATGTGTCGTGTTCGTAGATTTAACTAAGGCTTTCGATTGAGTCTGGCTAGACGGGCTGCTCTTCAAGTTAGGACGTATTGGTATGACGGGCATAATGTTTCGGTGGATCAAAAGCTTTCTGAGCGATAGAAGGATACAGGTGAATGTTGGCAGATTCCTGAGTGCCGAGTAAACATTAGAAAATGGCACGCCTCAGGGGTCGGTTATCAGTCCCACTCTCTTCAATATCATGATCAACGACATACAGAAATCTTCCTACCTCAACGCCAAAACTGAGTTAGCTAAATTTGCTGATGACAGTACCATATGGAGGAACTTCTGTGAACTACAAAAGAACATGCAGAAGGCCTTAGACAAATTCATGGCATGGGCAAACGATTGGGGATTCAAAGTCTCGGAGAAGAAAACAGTCGGCATGCTTGTAAGCAGGGATAGTGGGATAAGCAGAATGACTCTGTGTATGAACGGGAAAACCATCGAGTTTAAAGACCAAATCAAGTTCCTTGGCGTAGTCTTTGACCGAAGACTGACCTGGAAACCGCACATCGACGAGACTGTAGATAGATGCACCAAAATCCTAAACTTAATGAGAAAAATAACGGGCAGCACTTGGGGGGCCAACAGAGTCACACTAATGATGGTGTATCGTGCTCTAATACGATCTGTATTAGACTACGGCTCTCTGGCCTTCATGAACTGCGCGCCAATACTCTTAAGGAAGCTTGACACCATCCAATACAAAGCTCTGTGTATTGCGACTGGCGTAGGGCAAGGGACTGGGAGAGAGGCACTACTACAGGAAGTCGGGGAGTTGCCCCTATCCCTAAGAAGAAAAGAACTAGCGACAAGGTACTGGGCTAAGATCTCGCAACTGGGCGAAAGATCCCCAACCTTTGTCAGTCTACAAAACACAAGATATGTGAGAGATCCTAGAAAGAAAAGCTTCGACCAGGGTATCAAGGAAACAATCAAGGAACTGCGACTGGGGGAGCTCGTGATAAATGAACACGACCCCCCAGCGATCGTCCCTTGGACGCTCCCTATACCGCCGATTAATCTGGATCTAGTACAGAAAACCGACAAGAAAAACAACCCCACTGCTGCACGTGCTTTCTCTCTAGAACACCTGGAAGACAACTGGCCGTCTGATGACTGGGACCATGTGTACACGGATGGCTCACGCAATCCTGAAAGGAGCACCAGCTCGTTTGGAATATACCTGTCAAACGGGGAACAGGGAATAAGCAGGAAACTGCCCAATAACTGTTCGGTGTACACTGCAGAGCTTGTGGCCATTCGTGACGCTATATCATGGATTTCCCATCAAAAGACTAGTAAGTTCGTCATTCCAAGCGGCTCTCTGGGCAGTCTGATTTCAATTCAAAATGACAACTCGGACTCAAGACCAGAAGTCATTTTGGAAATCAGGCAGCTGTACCAGAGGGTTTTAGAGAAGGGAAGCAAAGTAGAACTCGTGTGGATTCCATCACATGTCAACATTAGAGGAAACGAGGAGGCAGATCGACTCGCCAATGAAGGTCTCAAGGACACAGCACCACTCCGCACCATAGACTACAGCACGACGGAAATCTACAGTATGGTCAAAAGACAGGTCAATTCAATCTGGGAATTAAATCTCGTTGAACTTGACACATACAGATTCCGGCTGAATGACAAGATCTACACAAAGACAACACTCAATCACCCTAAAAGAGATATTTGTAGACTTATATCGAAGCTAAGGGTGAAAGAGCGGCTGCGAGACTACAAACACCAAGTCATCATCTGTGAGTGTGGAGAAGAATGTACCACCAACCATGTCCTGGTAGACTGCGAGGTATACGGGGAGGAGAGAAGGGAACTAGTGAGAACAATGGAGACCAACAACATACCATTCAACACTAAGAACCTACTCTTCCCGAGACCAGATCTGAAACTGCATATCTTCGAACAAATCCACGCCCTAATGGACACAGTTGGACTAAGTAGAATAGTGAAGTAAGAGGGGGTCAGGGTGAGACGGGCCCGGCATCTAAACACTAAACTACATAGGGGATTTATACCAAACTGGCAGGATAGTGGAGTAAGGGGGGGGGGGGTCACGATCAGACGGACTCGGCATCTAAACACTATTCCACCAAAAACAGACACCAAACCTACACATTGGAATAGTGGAGTAAGGGGAGGTCACGATAAGACGGGTCTGGCACCTAAACACAAACCCCACAAAGATGACATCTACCAAACTACAGGATAGTGGAGTAAGGGGGAGTTACGGTCAGACGAACTCAGCACCTAAACACTATTCCGCAAATAAAACTGATACCAAACCCAGAGAGTGGGATAGTGGAGTAAGGGGAGGCCACGATAAGACGGGTCTGGCACCTAAACGCTAACCCCAAAACGATGACATCTACCAATCCAGAAGCAGACGAGATCATCTACCAAACGATATATTTTATATTAAATAAACGGAAGAACTTCCCACTAAACCAAATCCATGGCCTAAGGCCAAATGGAAAGATTGCAAAATCATATTCTAAAAAACAGGAATCAGCTTCGGCTCTCCTATGTCTTGTCTGCGATATCACTTACGTGGAAGCAGACGTTAAACCCCAAGAACGAACGAACGTGCCCGGGCAGCAATTGGATCCCAACTGTCTTAAGTTTTTGTTTACGTGCACACCAACGTGTACACGGGACCTCAGCTTTTTCTCGTCCCATCCCAACGACTAGAAGCTGATCCTTGTCAGGACCTCTGTCGTACCCTTGGCAAAGGGAAACCACGCTGGAAAATCTCGGGGAACTTTCTCGGCCAACACCGGGATCGAACCCCGGAAACGCTAGTTCGTGAGCCAGCCATCGCGGAACGTCAAAACTGTAAAGGCCAAGGTCTCTGATTATACCGAGTCAAAGTGGGTAACGAATCAAACTTATTGTCAGTCTACAAAACTTTCATCCGTTTCTGTAAATTATATTTTTAAGGAACTGTAGAACAAAACGCGTGCTAATTGTAGTAAATTATAATACTAGTTTTTAAAGTGACATCAGTATGATATAGAACATTTTCAGTGAAGTGACCCACGTTTTTATAAGATTAATATACGTATGTCAGGAAGTCCTGTTATACAGGTTTATAACTTGGTTATGATGTTATTTAACTGAAGAAATAGTTGTATTTCTTCAATTACATTCAAGAACACGGGATAGTACAGTAAGTTAGAATTTTTCACAGCTTTACATTCACAATTAAACAATACCTAACGTCCAAGTCTTTTAAAAGTCAATTATATGATGTAATATCCTTTAACATGTTTATATGAGATTAATACGATTTATGTATTGACCATCTTTAGATACAAATTATACCCGGGCCCTGTTTTTAAGAGAATAATATGGATATGTGAAATCCTACGTCGTGATACTTATTACGCCAGTCCTCATGCCCTGGGGCAGATAAATTTTATTCTGTTTAAGCTTAGGATTAACTCAAATGTGTATAATATCATAAAAATATTTGATATTTTATAAATCTTTTACTTTCTTGTGATACATTAGGTCCAAAGGATGAAAACTTATCAGGTTGTATTATAAATTTAATCAGCAGTAATTTTAATCAACGATTCGAATTTCAATAATAACGAACTTTCTAGAACATTTTCCCTAAAAAATACCCCTCGGATACCATTGTCAAAGTTAATCAAGTACCTGTTGCGCACCCGGATGTTGGAGTTGTTCCCTGTCATCCTGGTCAAAATGCTTTTGAGCCGTAGCACTAACCTTACCTTGAAACCTCATCGATTGATAACCATGATTCCCAAATCGCTCCACCTGTAGGTTACGCGGCTCTATAAGGGAGAAATTTACTGACCCAGAACAAAGGTTTAGTTTGTTTATAGTAAGAATATTGAGATACTTATATATAGGAAACTGGAATGCAGGTGACATCATCTCATGCAAATGCTTTCAGGCTTTAAATAATTTCAAGTAATACAGGTCTCTTGTTAAAACTCTTGCTTTGTCTGACACGACTAAAGATAACAGCCATTTTAATGCCTTTAATAAAGTACGTTTTTGAAATATCTGTAATTAAGCAGTAAAGAAGCTCTAAATATCCCTTTGATATCGCAATAATCACTTATCTACCTATCCCCTAAATACGCTATAATATACGCATGTACTACATGACACATACAATCACGACAGCCACGTGGGGTTTTCTTTTGCCAGAAAACATCAGTAATTTTTACATACAATAAAAATAGGTAAAATAGTTTTCCTTTAATGTCCTTTATGTAATAAAAATGAATATACATACATATATGCTTTAGAATAAACGCCGTCTGTCTCTTACTAGACTGATCTAAAATATAAAGTCGGAGAAAATTGAAATTCTATAAAATGAAATGGGATTTAACGACCTACTTTTCTGGCTTACAGTGTACTATGAGGGAATTTTGTTCGGACATTTTCATTTTCGGGTACTCTTCGTTATTCGGGTTCTTTTCTTTGGACGCTATAAAGTGTACACGTGACCTCTGATTTTCGTCTCATCCGATCGACCACACGATCCTCCTTGTCAGAAAATCTGACAATTTCAAAATCGTTACAAATTGCAGACAAAAATCTACAGTTAAACACAGCATATGATTTACGTGAAATTGTTGACAGAATTGTCATGTATTTCATATTAGTTTCCGTCTGTTTATTGCAATTCACCTTTTCTCCACTTTGCGGCCTCTTGCATTGCATTTTTATTGACTCTGTCTGGTTTTGGTGAATAGTCGTGATCTGGAGGCGAAAGGACCAGGACGTAAACACACATGAATTATGGAAATCACGTCCAAAAATGACGTCACAGCCTATAGATTCCTTTGAATGGGCGTAACAGAAAATCGAGATGGTCAACCCCCTTTAATATTTTTATCAAATGATTGTGATGTGTTAGGTCCTTTTTGGTTATAAAGATTAAGATTATCAGACTGTTAAAAAAAAGTTTTAGGCCGTGTCATGGCATGACCTTAACAATTACGCCAGTGATCATGAGTTTTGACACACTGTGGTGTTTAGCAGAGTTATCGGTTAAGTTTATTAGAGACAGATCACCATTAAAGGGACTGTTCCGATTTGAACAGAGTCTCAAAAATAAAAATCCGAGTAGGTGTGAAATTTAAGCGCCAAAATATAGAGGAATGGTGTATATAGCTTGTCTCAAAATTTCAGTTCAAAATATTGAGTCGTGTGGACGTGAACGTCAAAACTGCTTATCCGGACACGTAACCCTTTTAAGATTTCGGGTCAGTTTTTTCGTTGGGTGACCTGATAATCGATTCCCGTTCCGTTAGAGGTCTATACTGTGAATGACCCACTTGCTGTACTTGATAACGAAAGGTAAATTTCACCTACACATTATTTTTATAAAATAAAAGTCTGGTTTTATCCAGATACCGCATAATGCAGCTTGGAACACAGATCTCCATTTCCAGATGAAGACTGACAGGTTTAAGTTTGTTTGAAAACGTATCATATATACTGAGTTAGTTGTTCGGTCCTAAGGTAGAGGATTTTAAGCTTTTTTAACACAAAAATAAGCAGTTTTATTCTCTAAAATATTATCGGGATTGACCCTTTAAATTCCACCATCTACCATCAAAGTAGATGGTTTGAAGAGACATTTTCTGCCAGGTTTTGGTAAATATTCATGGTTTGAGGCGGAATGATAATAGAGCCAAGAGGTTGGTTATGATGAATTGGACTGTGGATAGTTACATTATAATTATAGTTTATGTATCTCAAAATTTCACTGGTCATTTCAACTTTCGAACAAAGACATGATTATGTGTTGTTCTGTCTGTGGTGGAATGTAGGAACAAGAGACTAGCTAATTTAACAATGGGGAAATTAATGGTGGTCTATACCCAAGTGTTTACGAGTTATCTCCCTTTATTGACTTAAACTCAGTGGGCATTTTTTGGAATTAACTTTGGGATGTTTGATTAACACAAAGTACACCGTTTTAGATAGCAGAGTTACAGACCAATTCATTATAAATTATTAGGAGACATGTACAGCTTAAAGGGGCTAAACCTGTAACTCAGTATTGTTCATAATATTTAAAATTAAAAACACAAATTAGAATTCGATATTGGTCCATATGTTGTTATCTTGCCGTGAAAATATGGGATCCTTATATCCAACATTTAGAACACAATGAACATTATATAATCAGTACACGAGCCGTGTATAGAGTCATAGCACGCTCTTTAAGCTTAATTGTTCAGATTTGTTCAAAGGTTTTTGTCGGGACAGCGACGCCTTGATATTAGGCCAATTTTTAAAAGATTAAAAGCACATTCTTATATTTTATTGTGGGGGATGTGGGGTGTGTGTATGAGATGGGTAATGGGGGTGGCCGAATGATTTAATGCGTGCACGTTAGATCATAAGGTCTGTTATTGAGTCACGTGGCGTGGTTTCGATTCCCAGCTTGTACGTAACAAGACAGGGTCGCCAGTCCAACCGCGGGGGTTTTTCTCACGATTTATTGATATACATTGAACCATACGTTAGTCCCGAAATTACCTAGTCGAGTAATGCCCCACCCCTCTCCCACATAGCGTGTTTGTCTCTTCACATTTTTGAGGCACTTCTATCACGTTTTTTTTTATTCATGTACGTTATAAAATTACAGAGAAAACTTGTATATACATGATAACAAATTAAACTGTGCTAATTTCAATCACGTTTGACCACGAATTAAAAGTAAATATAAACAGCTAAAATTAGGTTTAACATATATATGATGTGATTACCAAGTAAAAAAAAATGGTTTAACAAATTAAAACTGTAAAAAAGAAAAAGATATTCTCAACGGTTTGCTGGTTTAGACGTCCCTTATATAAAACCTTCTATAAGAATGTGAACACCTTCAAGATATGAACACGTGGTATGTATAATATATGTATTTGTTACTGTCAACTTGGTGTTGACGAGACGTTCAATTCTTTCAGTTTACATAGGATTTTCAGACACGCCAGTTTATCGTGGAAGGGGGACCACGGTGGCTGAGTGAGTAGGACGTTGGCTCGCTAACGTGGAGGTTCCGTGTTCGATCCTTGCGTTGGCCGAGAAAGTTCATCGGGATTTTCCGATGTGGTTCCCCCGTGATAGTGGTGTAGGCCTGAAGTTCGAACAAGGGACAACATATAGTCGTTAGGATGGAACGAAAATCCGAGGTTCCATGTACACATTGGCGTGCACGTAAAACAACCCTTGACAGTCGGAATTCGATATAAGAGTAGGCCCTAGCGCCACTGTACGGGCCAAATCCCTCATAGCACGCTGTATGGCATATGCAGAACAGTCAGTAGGACGTTAAACGCCATTTAATTTCATTTATCAGGGACGACGGGATTCGACGTCATCATATTTTTAAAATGACGTCATAATATAAAAAATTATTTTTATACGCCCACATTTTCATGTGGACGTATATTGTCGTCGCCCCTGTCCGTCCGTCCGTCCGTCCGGACGTCCGTCCACAATTGTTTGTGAACAGTCTACAGGTCACAATTTTTATCCGATTTCAATGAAACTTGAAATATAGGTTTATCACCCTAAGATCTCGATTCCTTTCGATATTGGCATCTATCGGACCGTAACTTCATGGATTATGGCCCCTGATTGTACGAAAATTACGTTTTTGGCTTGTGAAGACTGTAGAGGTCACAATGTTTATCCGATTTTGTTGAAACTTGAAATGTAAGTTTATAGCCAAACGATCTCGGTTCCTTTCGATATTCGCGCATATCGGACAGTAACTTCCTGAATTATGGCCCCTGATTGTACGTAAAAACGCGTTTTTTGGCTTGTGGACCCTATAGAGGTGATAATTTTTATCCGATTTAAAAAACCGTATAATTATATCATCGTTAAACAATAAGGACGGTTGAGTTCGAATTTCGTGAAAATCGGCCCAAAATTGACCGACAAAATGGCCGCCATTCGTTCTCAAATAGCGTAAAAATATGGTATATCAAGGTTGTGGACCCTATAGAGGTCACAATTTTTATACGATTTTGTTGAAACTTGCAATGTAAGTTTATAACACAAAGATCTTGATTCCTTTCGATATTCGCGCATATCGGACCGTAACTTCATGAATTATGGCCCCTGATTGTACGCAAAAACGCGTTTTTTGGTTTGTGGACCCTATAGAGGTTATAATTTTTATCCGATTTAAAAAACCGTGTTAATATATCACCGTTACACCATAAGAATGGCTGAGTTCGAATTTTGTGAAAATCGGCCCAAAACTGACAGACAAAATGCCGCCGTTCGTTCTCAAATAGCGTAAAAATATGGTATATCAAGGTTGTGGACCCTATAGAGGTCACAATTTTTATCCGATTTTGTTGAAACTTGAAATGTAAGTTTATAATCCAAAGATCTCGGTTCCTTTCGATATTCGCGCATATGGGATCGTAACTTCCTTAATTATGGCCCCTGATTGTACGAAATATCACGTTTTTAGCTTGTGGATGCTATAGAGGTCATAATTATTATCCGATTTAAAAAATCATATTATTATATCACCGTTACTCCCTAGGGACGACTGAGTTCGAATTTCGTGAAAATCGGCCCAAAACTGACAGATAAAATGGCCGCCCTTCGTTCTCAAATAGCGTTAAAATATGGTATATCAGAGGTTACAATTTTTATCCGATTTTGTTGAAACTTGAAATGTAAGTTTATAACCCAAAGATCTTGGTTCCTTTCGATATTCACGCATATCGGACCGTAACTTACTGAATTATGGCCCCTGATTGTACGAAAAATCGCGTTTTTAACTTGTGGACCCTATAGAGGTCATAATTTTTATCCGATTTAAAAAAACCGTATTATTATATCACCGTTACACCCTAAGGACGACTGAGTTCAAATTTCGTGAAAATCGGCCCAAAACTGACAGACAAAATGGCCGCCCCTCGTTCTCAAATTGCGTAAAAATATGGTATCTCAAGGTTGTGGACCCTATCGAGGTCACAATTTTTATCCGATTTTGTTGAAACTTGAAACGTAAGTTTATAACTCAAAGATCTTGGTTCCTTTCGATATTTGCGCATATCGAATTGTAATTTCCTGAATTATGGCCCTTGATTGTAGGAAAAATCACTTTCGTTTTAGCTTGTTTTCTATCCATCTCTCGAAAATGTGGGCGTATCCTGCCTGGCAGCCGCTGGTTGTAATTATTGTTCCATTGCATTGAGAACAAACTACCCGTTCCAGTGCGGTATTATCCATTGTATATGGTTTGGTTTGGGTTTTTTTCAGCTAGACCCACTAATTTTTATATTTGTAAACGGTGGGGTGGGGCGGGTTGATGAATGGTCGATCGGGGGCGCTTTAGATCACAATGTCTGTCATTGAGTCAGTTGGCGTGGTTTCGATCCCACACTTGCATGTGACAAGGACTAGGGTCTCCTGCATAATGTCCCCCACCCCCTGTTTCCTTCATATAAAAAAGACCCCTAGTTTCTGTTGTGTGGACGCCCCCCCCCCTCTCTCTCTCTCTAATTGACGGCTTGGGTTGGTGGTTAAGGAACATTTATATTTATATTTAAGAAATATAATAAGCGGGCAAATGAAACTTCTTTTATCACTAATCTAATATCGTGTCATGCAATCATTAATATTCAAGAAAATAGCTTTATTTTACCTTCTAACTATTTTTTCCTGGTTAGCCCACGAAGTGCTTCTTTTGACACGACAAGAAAATTTTGAGTAATTGTTTTAGTTTAAAATACATTCCGACAACGACAAAACGTTTATCTTTTTGACATTATTTCTTTTTCAAGACATAATGGTACAATATTATTAGAGTATACTTTTTGTGCGCAGATACGTTTAAATCTATACTAATATTTGTGACTGTCGTTTGTCTGTCTGTCTGTCTGTCTGTTCGGGGTTGGCGGCTACACTAGGTCTGCCCCGAGTCTGAAATTTGGGGTATAGGGGTAGCTCGGACCGGTGAGTAACATAGGCCAGGTGGCGTTACTCTACCACTTCCGGTTTTGGAGTTATGACCCCCGAGCGAAGCCGATCTGTTCGGGGTTGGCGGCTACACTAGGTCTGCCCCGAGTCTGAAATTTGGGGTATATGGGTAACTCGGACCCGGGAGTAACATAGGCCAGGTGGCGTCAGTCTACCACTTCCGGTTTCGGATTTATGACCCCCGAGCGAAGTCTGTCTGTTCGGGGTTGGCGGCTACATCTGCCCCGAGTCTGAAATTTCGGGTATAGGGGTAGCTCGGACCGGGGAGTAACATAGGCAGGTGGCGTTAGTCTACCACTTCCAGTTTCGGAGTTATGACCCTCGAGCGAAGCCGGTCTGTTCGGGGTTGGCTGCTACACTAGGTCTGTCCTGAGTCTGAAATTTGGGGTATAGGGGTAGCTCCGACCATGGAGTAACATAGGCCAGGTGGCGTTAGTCTACCACTTCCGGTTTCGGAGTTATGACCCCGAGCGAAGTCTGTCTGTTCGGGGTTGGCGGCTACACTAGGTCTACCCCGAGTCTGAAATTTGGGGTATAGGGGTAGCTCGGACCGAGGAGTAACATAGGCCAGGTGGCGTTAGTCTACCACTTCCGGTTTCGGAGTTATGACCCCCGAGCGAAGCCGGTCTGTTCGGGGTTGGCGGCTACACTAGGTCTGCCCCGAGTCTGAAATTTGGGGTATAGGGGTAGCTCGGACCGGGGAGTAACATAGGCCAGGTGGCGTTAGTCTACCACTTCCGGTTTCGGAGTTATGACCCCCGAGCGAAGCCGGGTATCCTGCTAGTACTAAATAATTTAAAGTCACATTGCGTCATGTTAGCGCTATAGAATCCCTGCAAACTACACTATTGTGAAAGATAATTCTCTAATAAGAATATAAGTCCAAAAATGGTCCAATTTCGTTCAGTGCTTACAAAGATATGTTGATTTGAAATTTAATAGATCTATGATGCTCGCTATGTAACAAGCACGCCGCCATTTTATTGTCCGCGAGTTGTTATTGATGGGCCTATTTTAAACCGTACTGAATCCAAGTCGTAAAGTGAACTAGCGTTAGTATTGTTTTCTTTATTAAATGGATTAAATCGTGAGAAATTTAATATTTTAGCAAAAAATGCAGATGACGCATCGCTACTTTAATATCCAATTTGATATTATTCAACGATTTTTTTATGCTACTAAGACAACGTGAAAATTAATCACCGACTAAAGTTTTTAAAAATGATTGTCACTTATCTCTAAACATGAAGGGTTTGTTCAGTAACGGAATTGATCGTGTCTGAAACCCGGATCCTTAACGTGTCAGTGATGATGATAATATATATGCCAATAGGAAAAAACTTATAAAATAAAGTCCAACCCACGTTATAAATATGTCCGCTTAACAATGACTTATAAAATGTATTATTCAACCAAAAAAAGTTAAAACACACACGTGCTTACACAGGATACAATTCTATCGAGTAGGATTCTCTTTATTATGGCTTGAAGTGAAATGGGGTTTAACGTCCGACTGTTCTCTCCCTCCTGGACCAATGAAGACGGCTAAATCTATTTGTTATGTCCAGCTTAATTTTTATCAAGGTCGTTGAGATGTAAATAAGGTGAGGGCACGTGATTGTTGGCGAGATTGTAGGTTAGGGTTAGGGTCAGCATTGGGGCTAAGCCCAGGCTTAGGGGTGATAGTTGGGATTAGCGCTAGCCCTGATTACATTTCGTGACCTATGACTAAAAATTGAGCTGGCCTTATCATTTAGCACCAACCCATGAAGATCTGATCGGTTGTATAGTGCGGGTCACGCCAGGTGTCATACGAGCGGCTTTTGACCCTTATCCGATTAATTATATCAACAAAAGAACAATTAAAGATATGGAAGTACATTAGCTGTATAATTTTGTTTTACATAAAACTTTAAAAAACTGATATGCTGCAAAATATATTAGACGACATCCAATCACAAGACAACATATACATTCACCCTATTTTGTGAATTTCAAATGAACCTAAGAAGTGTGATCATTTCTGTGATCTATATACTGATGTGATATCTGTCATTTGCGAAAAACAAAATTGTATATTAACCTACATGCTGATGGGGATTTTAAGTTTGACCGAACAATACTGATGTCGCTTTCAATCAATTACATGTTACTGTTTGTATGACGTAGGACGTTATAAATCAGTGTGTGACGAAAGGTATAGAGGTTTGTTTTATTACCATTTGGTAATAAATATTCAACAGGGACAGGCCTCTTGTATTAAGGACTTATATATCGTACAATACATGAACACAAAGTACACCCAACTCTCTGTTGGTCCAAACATCTTAAAGAGAAGTCATAGTGTTCGATTCTTTTTTTTATATACTGGTACATTAATTAGCCGGGTGATTTGGAATGAGTCCAAATTCTAAATGTCCGTTTTATATAAACTTAAAATATGTACCACATTATTTACATGGCGGAATATAGCCTTGTGTAATCAAGGCATTCCAAACTCTTGTACATAAACAAGTATGGATACGAATGAATGTAAAAACAATGGCTAATTTATGTCAACAATTAATGTAATTATATTTTGTACATCTCTATGATTGACAACAACTGGGTATAAACACAAAATAAATATGTAGATAAAGAAAAATATATTATTTTTGTTTAACGCGTACATCTCTTTTCTCTTTAAATGTCATTTAGCTGGTGGGAAGGAAAGTTGACGAATCCCAATACATCTCACTGTTGAAGGTTACGATTATTATGATGTCTAACGCGTGTGACTGACCACCTTAGTAGATAGATAGCCCAGGGGAAGCACCGAGTTAGAAACGAACCAGAGCAGAATAAGCCCAAGAAGAAAAATAACTAGCTTATTTAGAGATCAACTACATATTATCTGAAGTGAATATATCAAAACACAATGTATAATTTCGTTTCGCCAAAACCAGAAGAGATGGACAATTTAACAAGTAAGTAGATCTTTTATTGTTTGAACAATAGTTTGATTCGACTTAATTCTTTCAAGCAAATATGTTACAACCCAAACACCAACAAACACAAACAACTCAGTTAATATATTGCTGACGCATAAACCAAATCAAAATACTGAAAACCGTCATGGAGAAGACTAGGTACGATATGGTGCATATTTTTAAACATTTTATTTGTCTATGTTTTATTCTCAGGTGTAAGAATATTATATAAGACTATTGATCCTTGACGGTATATGTATATGACGTATATTGCATTATACACCTGTTTTCATGCTACTCTTACATCAATTGATTTAAACCGTGTACACCCAACTGTCTTAGGTCAACAACACTCGTGTGTTATTGGGTTTATTAAAAATATAACAATATCTGTTTTTGCCTGAAATACACAATGTCGCAAAAAATACTTAGAATCCATTTCATCTGAGTCTTTGGTTTTGTCAGTTTTCATAAATAATTAGACGAACATTTGCAACCCCTTTTTAAAAGCTTTAATAGTTTTAACGAAATAACGAATGCTGAAGTAACCGTTTTGATTTAGCTTATTATAGTTACCTAAAATTTAGTATGTTTCTAAAAATCCAGGATGCATTTTGGTCTGAGAAACGACATTTTCTACTGTTTTACATAATTACATGTTATATCGTAATTAGTTTTCTGCGATTTCTCGAGGTTTCGTCCCACAACTGATAACATAGGTGGAGATTAGATCTGAATTCTTGTGCACATTATACCACCACGTCACGCATAAGTTACGATGAAAACTTTACTTACATGACTACTTTTTCGAAAATAATCACCAATGGAGTTTTAAGGAATAGTCCCCATTTTCAAATGGCCTCCGAAAAAAAAATCGTTTCAGTGGATGTAAGACAAAACGCCTAAATGTAAATAAATAGTTACTTTGTTTGATAGTTTCAGCTCAAAATATTGGAAATGATCACTAAAATATTTTTATAGGTGTTATGTAACTCTTTACAGCATTAGCCTACAATTTTTCAATGTGTGACCTGATAAAAACGACTATTTGGTACCGTTTGTAAACTTTGCCAAGAGGTGATTAAAACACCACGGCAACCTACTGGAAAATTAGAACTCATGTTGGAAAACATATCACAAAGCTTCAGATAGTTGCTGGAGACAAGGATAACAGGTCTCTAAGAGTCTTCCACGTAGAATCAGGCAATTTTATTCAATGAAATATTCCTGCAATTTATCCTTTTATAGTTCGTTAACACAATGCTTCAGGTAAAGATTTTTTTACGTGCACATCAATGTGTACACGGATGGATCTCGGTATTTCGTCCCATCAGAAAGACTAGGCAATAGTATCTTGTAAGCTGCACGGGTGCTACTGTAGCGAGAGAAATGGAAATGGGGTTTAACGTCCACTCGACACAAACTAGGTCATTTCGAGACCAACACATGGATCAATTTTATGTCAATAATTCGCTTGCGCGTAGGGGTCTCTAACAGTTAAAGTAAACCGGAGGACCCAGAGAAAACCCACGAGTTTGGACAGGCGACTCTACTCCTTGTCACGTACAACCGGGGAATCGAAACCACGCCAGTTGACTCAATGACAGATGATACATGGCGCACGTGCTAACCATTCGGACACCCCCCACCCCCGCTAATGTAGCTGTGCGAATCTTCGGTAATACATTTGCACTGAAATTATCCTTCAAACTGTTTAATACCGGAAAACATAAAAATCATATACACCGAACAGCACGTCCGACTCGCAGAGTGACTGTCCTGAAAACGGGATAAAACCTAGAATGATGAATGATTCTACATTATAGTCGAGAATCCAACGCGATGCTTAGGTTCACCAGAGCACACATCGGTGTGCATGTTAAAGATCCCATGACAGTGGAGGGATCCGTAAAGCGTTGGTGTAGACGCCACTACCCGGCCAAGATTTGTCTCCATAGCATTGCACACGTGTAGAAATCAATTAAACATACATTATGCAAGAGCTAAATCTGCCTATTTCAAGTCTTTCTTTAGGCCTGAAATGTTATCTAAATTATTAATTAGATATTGATTAACTTATCCAGATCATAATCAACTCTCGACGTCATCGCTAGCCTGTGATATTTATTGGATTAGATTAATCATGAAATGGATAATCGAGAGTATGTTTTTATCTATACCGACCTAAAACGTTTCCTTAAACTGATATATGCGTTTTAAGAATGATTGCAGAAGTAGTCCCAAAAGGACCGAATATTGTGTTGAAGGTACCTTAAGCTAAGATATGATTTTACCCTGAATAATATGATAAGTTTTCGTGACTTTTGTTTAAGAATGATTGCGGAAGTATATGTGTTAGTAAACCATACCGACATAATAAATAATCTTAATGCGAGAAGACAAAATGATAAATGACCCAAAGAGACCACAACTGATAGCCCATAGTCCTACTGGGGCAAACTACTGATTATACTTTGCTTGATGGTGCATTTTCTTTTTTTTAATTAGAGACAATGTGAAATTTAAATGAGTCTTCTTTATTTTTTTTTTTAAAAAAAAGGAAACATGTCAAGTAATAAAATGACGTGCGTGTCAAATATTTTGCCATAATCTTTCATACATAAAATTTACATATTGGGCGTATCAACTCATGTATTAAGTCATCTGTATTAAGGAATATGACTTTTTAAAAATTATATGCCATATGGTTAAAACGAATGCATAGAATTAATCGTAAAATCGTGACGTACACCTACGTAATGTTTGTGCTGTAGGCCCATTATAGGTAGTATTGTAGTCTGATATGCAGAATAAGGATATAGTTTTCGTGAGTTATAAAAGGGGTATCCAAGGCACTGATCACTATTTGGATTTAACACCGTCATCATCAGTCGACAAAAAGTAGCATTCGACTCCAGCAGTTTGACAAGTCACCGTGTTAAGAACTGTTAACTCATTGTTCAAGGAATCAACTCTTGTATCGAAAAGTTAAAAACAAACTTGTATTTTATTGGAACAAAGTTTTAAAATTTTATAATAGTCGGTCTGATTCCTTGTACGTTGAGTCAATCCAGATTTATCTCGACGATTCTTCAACGGTATGTATAACCTTCTTGTAATTCTGTTTTATTAGTTCCACAATTATTGTCAGCTATGTGAACTTTTAAACTAATGAGAAGTGGTATCAGGTGTTACAGAATAGTAAGCATACTGCGCCTGGAGAAGATATCCGGAAACTAGTACCTTCTTGTGTTTCCAGATACGGGAAACAAGGTAGATGGACATTTCGGCCACAGGGGTTAAATGGTTCGAATACGAGCGAACTGGTTAGAGGGTTTGATAACTTATGGTCGAAACGTCGGTAAACGTAATGTCGTACATTCGGAAAGTGGATATTGTTGTATAATGATAAATTCCATTCTGGCGTCTTTCGGCTTAAACAGAGAGAGAGAGAGAGAGAGAGAGAGAGAGAGATATGGGGTTTAATGTCCACTCGACACAAACTAGGTCATTTCGGGACTAACATAAATTTTATTTCTATAATTCGCTTGCGCGTAGGGGTCTTTAGCAGTGGGAGGAAACCGGAGGACCCGGAGAAAACCCACGAGATTGGACAGGCGACCCTACTCCTTGTCACGTACAACCGGGGATTCGAAACCAGCGGCTTAAACAGAATTCCGTTGACAAAATAATCTTTATCTAATATGAAACTAATTTTAATTTTTGGGATCGCCTGTCGATTAATCAATCGGAAGCAGAAAAGTAGGACGTTAAACCCCATTCAATTTAATTTTGTGTAATTATATCTTATTTGATGCTATGATTGTAATTTTACACTCATCGATTCAGATACTGTTAAGATATATCTAGAGATAATGATACATCTCCAAACTTTCAGAAACTTGAATCATTAAATAAAGTAGAATAACTATATCGATCACCGTATAAAGTACTCGATTTCTGCCCATCGAAATTCTGCTGTCCATAATATTGTTAATAATGTATTGGACGTTACAATTGTAATAAACAACAATCCATCGAAATCAATGATGCGATTGACATCACTGGCACCCAATTTTGGGATAGTGTGTAATTTATTGGCATGTCAATGAAAGCAGTAATAACTTATTGTATCTCATCTTATCTTTTAAAAAATACTGTAATATATAAGTTCGTTTTTTTATATTTCGAATGCTGCATCTCATGAAATTGCATATGATTTCCTTTCCCCATGTACTCAACGACCATGACTATGTAAAAGTCCATTATAGTGCATATCAATTGGATTTCTTTTTTGCCGACAATAGAATATTGTATAAGTTTAACATAATTTATATTTCGATGAAAGTAAATTTTATTGGAAAATTCTGAAAGGGAGAATATTTTTAAAGCACCTGACGACTCGTTTTTTAAAAAAAATCCTAATAATAATTTTGTGAAGGTTTTGATGGGAAATAGGGACCTTTAATTTTATGGCTATGTAAAAAAGGGTTAATATAGATATACCATTATGTAAGGAAATATTAAGTGAAACGTATTGTCCTGCCTCAGGTCATATAAACTCTATACGACACTTTAAATGCTAGTAATATCCACAAGAACCTTTAATTTCTACTACAATCCGACAGAACAGTATAGGACGTTAAACCCCATTGTATTTCATTTCATTTACAATAATCCGATTTATATTAATTTACCTAATGATAATGGATCGAATCGGAATCTTACTTTTGTGGACCAACAGGGCTAGCTAATGAAGACGGCCATACGCTATAGAGGACTTTTTTTTCCTCGGTACAACGGCGTTTCGGCTACTCTTCGTCGAATTTTGTCTGTCAGTGGTTCTTTTACATTCAGCCGCTGCCCGGGCAAAATTTCCCTCATATCACACTGTATGGCGTATGCCCGTCTTCATTAGCCCAGTTTAAGAGCAGAACAGTAGGACGTTAAACCCCATTTCATTTCATTTGATTTCTTTTACATTCAAACCAACGATA